CCTTAGAGTATTTTCTCTTCTACCAAAGGAGATCAGAGCAAGAGTGAGGGCAATATGGAGGTGAGAGGGCCACATGGAGGGGTAACAATGCAGCAGGACAACAAAGGTGCAGGGACAGAAAGATTTGGCCCTAAACTTCGGCAGGCATGAGACAAGGTGATCCCACTGATCCCACTCAGTGAAGCTGGCAAGAGGGTAATTTACCAAGGGGAGAAGAGAAAATTTTCATACTTCCAAGTCTGACATACACAGGGACGTGTCCCAGGGAGACTATTTCAGTTTTTAAAATATTGAAATACATTCACATCAGTTGGCAAACAGCCATAGGAGCAAGAAGCCTGGAAATTCCACCCTGGCTGCCCACCCCTTCCCTGGACCACTGGAGCTCCCCACAATCCAACACATGGAGGTTTAACATCTGGTCTAGCGGGGGGCCACCAGGAATGTGCCCTATGACTGTGTCATGGTCAGTGCCCATGCCATGCCAGTGGTAACTTAATGTTGCGAACTTCATCCCTAGATACTTTCACACTCCTACACAGTTTAGGGTGGAGGCCTGGAATGACTCAGAGTATGAAAGAGAAGAATAAGATGCAGAAACACAGATGACTCTGAACCAGCAAAACTGTGTCAGATTCCCGGTATGCTGCCTCTCTGAGAAGTGAGCAGCTCATCACGCTCAGGACCCATCATTTCCATCAGTCAGGGTCCACAAGGCCAAGGCCCCTCTCTTCTCATTATCTACCAGCACCATCCCTTGATCTTTTTCTGATTATTGCCCAGAGTTTGAGGAAATGTTACAGCCTTTGCCATCACATTCATCACTACAATTTCTTCTCGTGTGTTGGAGCTATTGCCAGTAGTTGTCCAGGAAGCACTCCATGTACCAGATTTGAAGGCAGGCATGGTAAATTGTCAGGGTTTTTCTGCCAGTTGTGCACTGGCATAATAAGGACGATGTAGTCAACAAATAAACGAAGTAAACGACTGAAACGTTCAGACTAGGGCTCACATGTGTGACGTTGATATTCCTGAGAGAGTAATAAAAAGTTAATTTTACCCAAAGCTCACTGGCAAGATGGAAACAACCTACATTTATCCAAGCTTCAGGGCCAGTGCTCTCCCCTCTGCACTGGGCAGTTCAAGGAGAAGGGATCAGGGGTCTGGAGTTCCGGTATTGATTTTGCCTGGCAGAAGAGTCGGGACAAGTCATTTACTCTCTCAATGTCTGTTTCCTTGACTGTCAAATGGGTGTAAACACATGGTCTCAACATCCTGAAAATACTGTTGGGGGAGGGGGTCAAATGAGAAAGGGGATGTGAAAATGCTACGGGAAATCCAGTTCTCTACAAAGATGAGGGGTCACTGAGAAATTCTAAGGTCACGAGAACAGTAACCTTCACTTGAAGTGGATACATCCTGAGCCCCGACCCAGGAGCCCAAGGACTGTGAGGGCAAAGCTGAGAAAAAGCCAAGGCAAGAAGAGCTCCACTGAGCACATGGGCTTGAAAACAAAGTGTTTTACACGTTGAGGTCTTGAGCTCGAAAATAAGCGTTTTCAAAACTTTAGACACAAATTAAAAGCACTGCCTTGCACCATATAGAGACCTGACCAAAAGAATTCCCTGTCACTCATACTATCTAAGGATTATTTGGTAATTAAACTCTTAAAAAATAATAATAATTTCAGTTCCTAGTTATATTCTATTTCATCCTGTAGAAATTCACTCCATGATGCCATGAGATTTGAATGTCTCCTTACGTCCCTTTTTTCTTCCCCCCCATTTCTTCCCTTTCATCCTTTGAGGGTGGATCTGCCAACCATCATCTGTGGGGCCAGAAGGCAAAGCTTTCATGAAGAGTGGTTTTGCCTCCACTGCCCAGAGCCCTCTCTTAAGGTTTGCTTGGGCATCTCTCTCCACTGACCTCCCAGTGCCTCTGGGTGAAACAGCCATGCTCAAGAGTTCAGTCTCCGGAGATGCTACAGCTTGCTGTGTGATCTTAAGTAGGTCACTTCCCTCTCTGGGCCTTGACTTTTTCACTTGGAAAGAGAAAAATTGCTCTTTCTCAAAGTTACTAAGCGTCTTTCTAAGGGAACTCTAGCTCAGAGTAATATCCTGAGTAATTGGATTTAAACCAATGATTTCCATCACAAAGGAAGCCCAAGTACCCATTAGTGGGCTCCTCTCCCTCCACCAAAGGTCACCACTCGCAGCCCAGGATCCTCTGGTCCCTGGAGTCCTGAGATCAAAGCTGTTCCTCGCTGTTAGTGTGAAGAGAGAAATCTGTCCTAAGTGGGCTCCCAGAAACTGTGTTTTACTGGGAAAACAGCAGGAAGTGTGACAGACCTTCCCATCAGGTCACCCCTCAAGCCCACATGAGCCTTGAACGATATTGAATCTTTCCTCTACATTCTCGGAAAATATTCATTTCCTATGAACCTTCCAGATTATTTTATTACTGGCCCTCATGACCTAGGAGAGCTGCTCTCATGCTTTTTCTTTCCTTGCCAGTTAGGAAGCATGGGGCAAGAGGATTTAAAGATCTAAATAAGAAAATTTTTTAAAAAAAGAAACAAAGAAAAGAAAAAATTCTGACTGCTTTTGCATGCTATGCTGTTCTTTTACTCAGTGGCTTCTTCCCATCCCTCCCACCTCCCTCTTAAACGCATTAGACTCATGTCCTCCGAGCTCTGACTTTCACTCTTTCGTGCCACCTGAATTTCTCCAGGCCATGTCAGGCTCCTTCTTGGAGCTATTAGAGAAATTCTTCCACTTCCTCATTTAGCAGATGCAGAAACTCATGATGCAGGGGAACTGAATAGTTGCTCAAGATTAGATAGTGGCCAAGTCAGGCCAAGCGGCTTCACAGTGCCCATGAGAGCTACATACTGATAGAGTTTGCTGGATAAAGTGAGCTTTATAAGCAATTCCCCAAAGACATTGGACTTTCCCTTGAAAACAAAGCGGAAGATGAAAAACAATGCCAATAAAGATAGAAACTCTGCCCAGGACAGTAGCTATGCACACCTGAAGACTGTTATTTAACATCCGTCAGATGTGTCACTGTTTGGATAACAGTGATCATGATGAGCTCATGTTTGTTGAATGCCAGACATTCTTTTCGACACTATCAGAAGGGTGGTAAAGATTCTCGAGAGCTGATCAAGCTCTTATGGGCTTCTGTTGGTAATGACCACTTGCAACATTATTCTCCCCCACGGTTTGGTAAGGCCAGCCAAGGCAGAGTGGAGAGGAGGATGGTGCTGTGATGCACAAGACCTGGAATCAGCATTTGGTATCTCCACCCCCACGGGTCTGTGTCCAGTCCTGGGCTACTGTGAAGAAGCAAAAATACTCAGTGTTCCTTAATAGACAAAATTCTTGATCTGAGCAAATAAAAAGAACTTGGGAGCCCCTATTTGCTCTGAGCAGGCTATTTCCTCAAAGCAACGCTGGCGGAACTATTTGAGAGGTCACCGTGCCATTCTTTCCTTCAGTCCGTTAATAGGGAGCAAGCACCTCTCACCACACCATCAGCTTAAACTGTTGGGTCCCGTCTAACAGCCCAAATGGAGTTAATGGATGAAGTCCTTGGAGGGTTTTCAGGTGAAGGGGAAGCAGAAGGCTGCTATCCAGGGAATGACAGAGGTGTTAAAGCTGGTTTTCTGCTTTGTTTTTATGTTTTTACATTAATGCAATCTAAAGGCAACTTTTAAGATGTAGATCAGATTCTTTTTTTAATTAGCCAAGACTATTTTCCTTCTAATTGTCGCCTAAGAAACCATCTTTAACCATTCCCCTACATAATTCCTACCAGTTTGGCCCACTTCTTGGGAATTTCAGAAATGATTCAAAATCAGTACAGTAGGGAAAAAAATATTTATTTTCTAACGTCATTACCTTGATAGGCAAAACAAAGCATTTTCTCAATTTCATTCAGAAATACATTTTAAAAAAATACATAGACCAATATGGCCTGCCCAAACATATATTTAACATGGTAAATATAAGGAATAAATTGTTTGAATATAAATATCTATAAAAAAATAAGTACATCCAAATTTAATCCAACCTCTTCCATTAGCCGGTTACATAAAGGAAAAGAATTTTACTGCTTGAAAGCATAACCAATGTTTCCTCTTCAATGTCTGTCATAAAGAACCCTATACCATTGTGTTTCCAAAAATCAAGGTAAGGCAATCTCCTGATTTAATTATCGTTTTTTTCTTATGGATCAGAGCTAGTAGATTACCATGAAAATGTTATATCTACTACTGACACACACATTAGACTAGACTTCTATGAGGCTAGGACTTAGTGTGGGGGGTTGGGGGAGAGAGCGGCAGGAGGGGAAGAGCTTGAGGAGGCAATAATTAAAGGTGGGGAAATACTTCTGCCAGAGTGCACTACAGGTGAGGTAGACGCATTCATGAAACACATCCTGATTTACAGTAGGAATAGTTCCTTTCAGTTTTGCATTTTATGAATTAAAAAAAAAGTCTTTTTATTTTACTCGAGTGTTTGTCCTTCGAGTGTTTTCGATTTGTGCATTCCTTAGAAAATCTTCGCGTGGACTTTGGAGTTTCTCCCTGAAATGTGCCAGGCGCCTGAGTGAGACACAAACACTCCCTTGGGACCCTCTTCGGGAGCTCCACCTGCACGTGGAATCTCTTCACCTCTCTCTGGAGGATGCCACCCTAACTGGCGGGTCACTGTGTCTCTCTGCTTTCTTTGATGGGTCCACTGTCACCCCAAACGAAGAGAAGACGAAAGCAGTTACCACGGATGGGAGCAAGTGAAGATGGGTTGGGGGACTCCATAGTCTTTCTTGGAATGTTCAGAACAAGGATGCTGGTCCTCTGCCAGTCTGGAACAAGAAACGGTCTAAGCAGAGAAGATGCTTTTGCTCTAATCCCAGCCAGTGTGGAGAGAGTGCAGAGTTGGGCACACAGCTCTCCGTGAAGGAGATGGCTGCAGACAGGCCCAGAGGATCTGGAATCAGTGTGCTCGGTTGTGGGTCACTTTCTTCTCTCTGTAGAGCTCGGCTTTTAGCTTTGCAATACGAAAAGATGTTTTGATGCTGTTGCTGATGGTCTCCAACCTATTAAGACAAGAGAAAACAAATGTCATCTAAAAAAACAGTCATTCCTGGGCAAAACAAACGTCTAAAATTAGAATCTGGCACAAATAAATGAAGGGCTAGCTCCTAAACTTTCACCAGCAACTGCAACAGCATGCTACTCTTTGCTACCATCAAGTGAACATAAAGCCTGCCTCCTATGCCTAGAATGGGGGGGACGGGCAAAGAGGAAGGGTGATACGGTCATATCTAAAAGGAATTGGGCATTAAATACAATTTTAAAGTACAGTTTTAAGGTAAACTAGAGATATTCTCTTTTCTTCTGTGGCTCTAACCCAGCCACCACCATGATGGGACTCTGTGGAGAAAGCAATTCAGCATAGGTTTCAAATAGTCATGAATGTCTTCTTAATCACATAAGGAATTAAAGGTGACTTAGTGGAAAAGAAATAAAAACAGAGGAGGTGTACAGGATGGCCCAAAGCAAATGTTCTATGGCTATTAAAAAAAAAATTTGTCTACAGGTTTAATGTTTTCTTTTTGCAGGAGAAAGAAAGAGGGAAGAATTGTAATGTTGATTTCATAGTTGATATATCAGAAACTAATAGAAAAATTAATAATTTCCAAGTCAGTTCAGAAACTGTGGTTTATATAATCTTATAATCTGAGGGAGCATTCGTGGCCTGAGATCATAAATATGAAAACTGCAAGGGCACGTGTGAAGTCACGGCCAGCTAAGACTGTCTTACAGTCTCACATATCAGTGGGAAACAGCTCATAGGGAGCTCATGACTGCCAGGCCCGTGCTCAGAACACTGATCACAGAACTCCTCGCCACTGGAGTCCTGGGAGAAGTTTCCACTGACCACGATAGGGAAAGGTAGAACACGTGACAGATCTAAAAGTAGGTTTCCTCCCTCCAGCTTGTGAATTCCAGAAGGTTTAGGATTTGGAAGAGTCACCGCTGTGGAGCTGCTCCTCCCAACCCTGCGGTATTGCCTAACGTGGATCCCTTCTCTGCCCTAGCTCATGACGGACTAGAAAATGAGAGAGCTTTTAGGAATGACATTGGCTCTCCACCAAGTGCATTTCCCTATTAAAAAATATATAAAGAAACCTGAAAAACGGCATGTTCTAACTCTCACCAACCCTACCTAATGACTTTCTTTTCCCCATGGCCATTTGGATAACTGCTACTTTTTGAAGAACTTGATTATACATGACACTTTGATTTAAAAAAAAACCAAAAAACCTCTCTCTGAAATGATTTTTAATTTCTCAGGGAAAGCGATAAATATACAAATATATTGACTCAGAGAGGTGCAGACTGGATATGACAAAACTGTCTCTAGACATATGTTGGTTTGGGAAATCTACCTGTAGACTGAGGGGTGTGTGCTAAAGATCATCAAAGTGCACAGTGGGCCGTGGTCTGTGGGCAGTGGTCTGCGCGCAAGGCCTTCAAGAAAATATTTGAGAGGGATTCCTTTTGCTCTCTTTAAGCTATAGAATATGAAGATCCCATTTGCTATTTTCTTCTAAGCCTTTCTCCCATCAAGGTAAGAATGACTAGGGGATTAGACCATTAGCATTGGTGAGGGGGGCTAGTTGTTCCTGGGAGCCTCTTACCTTCTTATTTTTCTTCCTTCCACTAGCTGTTGATGAATACACTTCTCTCCAAGCTTGGAACAGTCTTTTCCTTTCTTTTGGTTATTCCAGCCTTTCTCCATAGTGTCTTGGTCCCTGTTAAAATACACATAGGGAAAAACATTTCAGCAATGGTAACTTCAGGTGCTCTCCACGTCTCTGCTAATCTCTCTTAATCAAGAAGGCAATCCCTTAACAGAAGGGAGACCAGGAGGCTGTAAAACTGATTGAAAGTAAAGTGTTTCTACTCACCTGAGTTCTTTTCCTGCTTGGCAAAAATTCCAGCACTTCTTGTCTTTTTGGCTAGCACACTGGCATCTATTCCTGTGGTCTGTGGCCTTTGTAGAAAATAATTCCTTTAAGGATCGCTTGGACCTGGAAGGGCTTCCAAGTCCATATGGAACAATGTGCCTGTTATCAAAAGAGAGAAACAAAAGACATTAGCATAATTAATAGTCTTCAAAATGATGCATTCCATAGGGCAAACTCATTCCATTGGGACACAAGAAGCTCAACACACAGCGCTTGGTAGTAACACTTAGGGGAGCGAAGTATGGCAGCAGCCAGAATCACATGCCCATCAATGGGCCTGAGTGTGTGTATCCAACCAGGAGAAAACCAGTTTTTCTAATTCAATGAAACTTACCAAATTCCATTTCTTCTTGACACAAGCAACATTGGTTTTTATCTAAAATTATAAAATCTCTGCTTTGGCGTCTGATTATATTTTCTTCCTTTTCTAATGTTCTATTTAGTTAGCTATTTGGGAGGGAGGAACCTCAATGCAAAACCATCACTCACAAGATTTTGAAAACCTATTTTCAATTCAAGTCATATATGATAGTGCTAAAGCTGCCCCCTGAGGGGGTGGCGGCATGCAAGGTTCATGGCCGGGTTTGCATATCTCCTGCAATTTGGTGATATCAGTGACTATGGAAGGACTCATTGCCAGAAGGCTCTGCAGTCATTTCCAATGTGTCTGTTTTGATTCTCACCTAAGGAATCAAGTCCTCCCCTTGGAAGTATCACCTTACTAAGTATTAGGCTCACTGTGGGTTTTGTTTGGTTTGATTTGATTTTGTTTGGATTTTGGTCATCCTTGGCCATAATGGGACACGGCAGGCACCATAAATGTGTTTTTGTTTATGACTGCTTCTGATGGGTGAACTGGTTTTCGGGGGGGAAAGAGGGGAAACTGCCTTCTTCACTCTGGAGGCCGGAGAGAAATCTATAGACCGTGTTTCCATTGCTGTCTTGAACCGGGCTTTTCTAAGGGGCAAGTTCAGAGGAGTCAGGACATCCAGGTTCTAGGTTTAGCTGCACCATAAACTCATTCCTGCACAAGGGACTTCAACATCTTGGGTCTTAGTTTTTGTTTAAATGTAAGTCAAATGAAGGGATTGGATTGTAACTCTCTATAATCCCTTCTGCCTCTTAAGTCTCTGCCCTCCCTTGAGAAGCACAGGTTGGGCTAACCCACATATGACCTCAGCAAATTATTCCCTAAACCCTGGCAGGTCCCACTGAGAGAACAAGCCCCCGAGGCCCCACACTTAAAGTTTCTCTTCAGAAATGTAGGGAGCCTCCTGCTGGTGATCAACTCTTTCCATCTGTCCTGTCATGAGTAGCCCGAGCCACAGGCCTCAGAAGACCCTCCCTTTCTGTTGCTAAGATCCAAACTACCCTGTTCCTTTTGGGAATGGAGGGGCCTTGTCCCCACCGAGGCACTTTCATGTCCTCAGAAAGGCTACCTTCACAATCCCAAGCAGGAGCTCCCCCCAAAAGTAACCAGAGCAACCGGGCTCCAGGCTCTGGTGAAGCCAGACCCCGGGAATGATTAGAGTTACGATGCCCTCTAGAGACTCACTCGGGAGTGTTGACCCAGATGATGTCGAGGTGGCAGAAGTAGACACACTCTTTATCCATCAAGGAGGAGCAGGAGCAGCGCTTGGACCGGCGGGCCCTCCAGGGCGCACTGGGAGAGGGCTTCTCCCCTCCGCCGTCCGCTTCTGTGCTGAGCTCGGCGCCCAAGACCACTGGGGAGAGAGAGAGCAGGTCAGTGGGACAGGTCTCCTCAGGGGCCTGGAGCCACGCTGGATCACAGGATTGACACCAGATCTAGCGGAGAAGACCAAAGCAGGTGACGCGTACAGCCTGCCTTCACCAAGAAACACAGGGGGAAAAAGACTTTATTTTTTCCCTCTTTCACGTGACTTCACCTTTACCCTCACTGGCTTACCCACCATCAGAGAGATTATACAAGTGCAATGGAAAAAAACACCTGAAAAGGGACTTACCAGCCCCCTGGAAGCTGCCTTCAAGGAAATATTTGAAAATGCTCCCAGTTAGAAATGTGGGTTGGCTTCTGCATGGAGCTCAGTAGGACAGTGCAACCCACAGTGGCCTAAAATTGGCTAAAAGTAAATAAACCACTGCTTTTTCCCAGACTCAGAGCCTTTTCCAGGCAGGATGACCTTCCATTTAGGGAGCATCCACCACTTCACACCTTGTATGGGGTAGGGAGTGGCCGGGATGATATATACCCCTTGAAACAGGTGGAGGTCAAGAGCTTTGGGGAGATGACTGGAGAGAAAGAAGAGAAATCAGCTCTACGATCGTCATTTCAGGCAATAAAATGCGCAGAAACCTCTGACCTAAGGTGAAGCTGAACAGCAGCTCGGGGCACCTAGTCACGGTTCTGCGGATTTTGACTTCGGAGTCCCGGGAGCATCAGGGCGTGTGTGGGATTCGCCACCTCCCCCATCCCCACTGCACCATCGCCTGTCCTTCTGACAAGTTAGCCGTGCGGCTTATCTGCCCAATTTTGTACATTTCAAATGATCAGACACATTCCAGGATTTTTCATTCCCTTGACATCCTTTCTCTTTAGTCAGGGTCAAGAAAAGACAAAAAAAGTGCAGTGACCCTAAAGGAGGGAAAGCAGCAGATGCACACGTAACTATCTAAATCCTTAAGCAGGCAAGACTGAGCCCGGCTCCCCTCCCGGGACAGGTGAATACAACTGAAAAGAGAGCTCAAGCTCTTTCGGGTGCCAAAAACCTGCCAAAGGAAACCTAAACTCAATAATGACAAATTTTAACGAAAACATCTGCTTCACCCTGAAACTGCCCGGGGGGTTACTCAGCAGACTGTTCCGCAGGTGATTTTACTGCTCATATATTGCTTGAATGACTTGAATAAAATTCCTTGGCTTCAAGCTGAAATGTTTAAATATTTTACACATTAACACACCATTAAAACAGTCTTTGAATAAGATATAAGTTCCTCTGTGTCCTATTACGCATATGAACACATACATTGCAAATATACATTTGGCTAAACTCTAGTCTTTTCTTGAGTTATATTTTTAAAAGCCAAGGAAATACACTACGCAATAATAATAATGTTATCTTCATGCAATAGGAACAATTGTGTTCAACAGAGGATTTTCTTTTTCCACTGGAAGACTTAAGTAGCTTTGAGCAATAATTCCCAGACACTTGAAATCTGAGCTGCAGTAATAAAAAGAAGAGGGAAAAACAGAAGCAAGAAAAGCATTAAGCTGGATAAGAAGACATCAACATTCAGAGATTTACAAGTCAACGTGCCTACCTGTTTCTGGAGCTCCTTGGAACGCCACAAACAGCAGAGAGAAAATCATGGGGAAATAATCCATTCTGGAAAAAGGATCAAAAGTCTCTCCCGCGAACTAAACCCAAAGGAAAACGAAGAAAAACAGCTTCAGCTCCCTCCAAGCGCTTCTGGTTATTCAGATCTCAAAGCGATCCTGCAGCCTAAGTGCTCTCTAATGGGGAGAAAAAGAAGTTTCTGCCAGGAGAGAAAGAAGGCAGCGGGAACCGTCTGAAGACGCACGCGGTGGTGGCGCGCGGGGACAGCGGCGGAGCCCCGAGGTCCCTCTGGGCGCTCGCCCCAGCACAGATGCAGAAGCGCGTCTGGCTCGGACAGCTCTCCGCCGCCTTTTTATATTGAACCCCCATAGAGTGGGGGTAAACAGCTCCAACTTTATTCCAGCCCCAGACAATGTTATTGTGTTATTAGTCACCAACAGGCAACGTGCAGCCGGAGATAAGGCCAGGCTCTAAAGGAAATCACTGCGAACTTCAGAGGCAGACGCCCGCCGTCTGACAATTCAGGGGCAGGGCTAAGAAAAAGAAAATACCCATTGGAGACCTTTGGTAAACCTGCCCGTGCGGCGCTGGAGTCGGCTTCCCCTTTGCAAGCTGCCGGCCCCAGAGTTCAAGAATCAGAAGAGGGACTCCAGAAAAGTCATACCATTGGTATGAGAAGTATGAGCTCCAGTTTAAATAGATTGTATTGTTGTGCCCGGGGAATTTTTTTAATTGTTGTTCACTTCATTTTCCTTTTATGTCTCTCCGATTTTTTAGTGGTGATCGAACAAGGGAGCTCTCTCCCTCTTCACTCCCCTCGACTTGGGGTCAAAGTATTCTGGCAGAGGAACGTACTCCTCTCTTACTTCAAGCCCCTCCCCAAGTCTTTTTGGCGAAAGTTGTTTGCGTCCACAGTGGGAAAAAAAAAAAAAAAAAAACAGCGAGGGAATGGCAAGGAAGGGAAGTTAAAAAAAAAAAAAAAAAGCAGCCTTTCAGGCACACACTCAGTCCTTTCAAGATGACTGATTAGAAGCCCCCCTAAGCTTTTTTCTGTGTCCAACCTTCGTCCCCTCGCCCACGTTCAATGGCACCAATCTTAAGAAATAGCGGGAGAGGACCGCCAGGGGGAGGTGAAGAGCCACAGGGGCGGATGTTTTATGAGGACAAAAAGTTAAAAGTCTCAGCTTCAGAATAACAGAAGGAAATGCAACCTGAGGTAGGAGCTGAAGAAAGGCACGGAATGGCGCCCAGCGTAAGAAAGGGGAGTGCCCCTCAAAATCTTCCATCCACTCCCTACACAGGGACACCTTCTCTGGGTCTGTTTTTTCCTTTGGCCCCTTCATTTGGGGCAAAGGCGTGTTCCTGCCGCAGGGTTAGCTGAATATGCTTTCAGGGTGGTATTGGGAAGGAGGACATGCCCATGCTGAATAAAGGGATCAGACAATCCCTCATGTTTAATAACGTGTTTACATGTGCAGAGCAATTACCTGTGTATTTAACCTTGAAATATCCCCTGAGGTAGGCACAGGGCAGTTACTGCAGAGGTGACAACACGCTGTAGTGTATGAAACAAAACATAAATGTAAGACATTGGCTTTTTCAACTAGCCTCTCTTTTCAGGTGAGAACACTGAGGCAGCCAGAATTTCCTTGCTCCACCAGTTTTCATAGTCCGCTGAGTAAGGCCTGTGGGATCAGTTCAGAGCATCTTCCTGCACAGGAAAGAGATGAGTTTCTACCTCCCACCTAGGAAGGTCATGGAAGAAATGCTTCCTCCATGTCCTCATCTTGCTTTACTCCACTCTCCCTCCTCCCACCTCGCCCAGGAATGGGAGAGGGGGTTCAAGCGTGGACCTATTTTCACTGTTCAAGAGGATCCCAAGGAACGATTTTCCCCTCCTTCTCCCTGCTTACCCATCACCTCTAGAATCAAAAAGACAGATTTTTATCCCAACACTAAAGCTGTGGACCTGGGCACACTTGGGCCCTTTGGACTTCCCTGGAAATCACGGTTGGGGAGATGTTACTGTCAGTTACCGAGAATAGCGATGTCAGAACCATAACGAGATGTGCGCCCTGAAAGAGTCACTGCAACAAGAGCTGGAGATGCGGAGGAGGGTTCCTGCCTCCACCCCCACACACACTCACACCCAGAGGGGCCTCTGCCCAGGCCTCTACCTGGCCCTCTGCCTCCTCCGTATGCTGACTCTGCCCAGCCCTGGGGGCTGGGAGGGCACAGCTCCCCCTAAGACTGGGTGGCACCAAGCAGGAAGCCAGCATCACCCATCTCAGCTCTGGCCAGCGTGTCCCAATATCCTCCCCCCAGCAGACCACAGGGACAGCAGAGGAGAGTTGATATCACATTCACAAGATCCATCTTTCCCCAGGGAGGCAAAGGTGGCCTGGGAAACATATCTTGGCAGGGTCTCCCCCTGCTCTTTTTATTAACCTCCTGGCAACTTTGACCAAACCCTGGCCACAGTCAGGACCAACCTGTCCTAAACTCCTCCCAGGAAACAACCACCCCCGCCTTCCCTAATCTCTCCAGGTCCAGCCTGGGCTACCCTCCAGCAGGGAAGCCTATCTTCCCACCGCTGCCCCCACCTTGGTGAGGCTGCCCCTGCGGGCGTCAGTAGCACCCAACAATCAGGTGGGGAAGAGAAGCAAAATGAAACTGCTCACACCCCTTCCCACAGCTCTCCCTCTTCTCTCCTGTCTGTGTCATCCTGTGAATGTATTTGAATTATAAATACAAAAGGTGGGCCCAGCGATCCGCCCCCAGTCACCCCCACCCTTCACGCCAGGCCTTCTGTTAAAACAAATGCACAGGATTTCAGACGTGAGAGGGTCCTATCATCCCAAGTACAATCTCGCCCTCATTTCTTTGAGTCTTGAGTTTCCAACATGCACACTCGCATGTGTGTGTGTGTACATGTGCATATTTCCATTTCTCTTTCTTTCTGTGTCTTGGCGAAGTGGTGGCATCTGCCTTCTCCCTCCATCTCACCATGTCCATCTCTTGCAGCAGCCCCTTTTCCTCCTTTAGGAGGAAAGAGCAGCCCCTTTCAAGGCCAAAGAAAGCAGCCGTGGCACTGCCAGGCAGCTGCCCAGCAAGAAATTTTCCCAAGAAGCAAGAGGAGGAGGGAGAAAGAACCCCAACAAACCAGTTTTACAAGCTAGATGCTCCCACCTCTCCTGCACTTGAAGCATTGCTGGAGAGGGAGGTAGGACGGGAGGAGGTTACAAAGGCTGGACAAAGAAATAAAGGTGGAGATCCCACTTCCATCCACAGCCCCCCACCCCACCCCTCCAAGATCTAGGAAGGGAAAGGCTCTTGTTAGCTGCAGTGCTCCTCAGAGAGCAGAGGGAAGGGAAAGGGGAGAAGATATAAGACGGCGTTTTTCAATAGAGCAGTTTCTTGTTGCTGTTCTTGCTTTTGAGGTTACACTTGAACACTGGAAACTATTTGATAAAGCTATTTTTTATGTATTTCTTTCTGTATCTCTTGCTGTGTATTAATAGATATCTATAAATAAAACAGCCAGAGCCCCAAATACAGATACTACACAGTAACAAAGTATACTGTTTTTAGCCCTCTTCAGCGTTGCTCTTTCTCAATTTTTGCGTAATAGAATTTGCAAGTTTGCCAAGCCAATAAACCTGCTGTGTGATGCCGCGTTAGCTCAGCAAAAAGAACGGCCGTTAGGTTGCTTGAGGACAGCACAAAGAACGGGGAACTACTTTGTTGTAGGTGCAGTGAAGTGCTCCATGCCCCCAGACCTGGTCCAATTGCACAGCGTTGACCATTTCACATTTTCACTTTGCATAGCGCTGTTGTGATAGATCGAGCACGGCAGACATTACTCCATGACACATTACACACCTCCAGGAGTCATGAACAAACACAGCTTCTCCCTACACTCCAAACTATAATGGTTGATTTAGGACAGGAAATAGGATGATGCTCAGGAGAGATTCATCCCATGCATTTTAAAAACATATAACGTATGCAACTTTACTTCCTTGATGCTTTCCTCCATAAGACAATGACAGATAGCAAGAGTTTAGTTTAAAAGAATGTGTCCAGCTTTTTAACCTAGCATTTCCCAAACCTCAGTCATTCATGAACCTCTTTCACAACTTTTGCCATATTTGTGCATCACCCGTACATTTTTACTGAATATTTTCCGTTCCACTGACATTTCTTTTGCTTGAATAATTTTAAGGGAACTGAACATCAGTACTATCCCAAGCAATAACATACATAAAATCATGGTTCGTGTGGTTAAATAATATACATATTCATATGGTTAAATAATGTACATGAAGTCATAGTTTAATACATGTTAAAATAAACATAATTAGTGTGTGTTTATGAAGTTATTAGAAATAAAAAATGGTCAGCCATGCACTTTCACTTTATGTACCTGCTCCAGCGTGCTTACCATTCTTGGGGAACACTGTTCCTTCTCTTTTAGTGTCTTATGCCTTATTATGTTAAAAATGAAGCCCTGGTTTAATTCTGTTCTCTGACCTCTGCTTTCCAAGATAATCTCCAAATATTCCATATCAAAATTCTCATGTGGATGCACCTCAAAGAAACAGAAGTTCAGGCATACATAATCTAGAAGAACAAGAAGTTTATACAAAAAAAATTCTCTAGTTGATACTCCCCCTTGGCTTATCGTTTCAATATTTTGGTAGTTGTCTTTTATCTTATTTCGACCTTCAACCCCAAATTTACATATTCTGAGTGTTTTCACTCACACACACATACACACATAACACACACATATGAACCTATAGATTAGAATGGGAGAGTAATCGTAACATTTCACACATCAGAGAGCCTCCCCATCTTTTTTTCTTTAATTTTAATTCCATATTATTCATGACATGTGGAACTAAAGGGATTCTGATGCAGGGCTTAAAAAGGAAGGCCGCTTGGGGGTGAGTGGAGTGAAGTCAAGTCATTTCTCTACCTAATTTATGTAGTCATTCTAGATAAGCTTTCTTTCCATGTGTTTGAATGGGATGGTAAAAGGAAT